TGCCTGCACCGCGACCCTCTACGGTGTAAGTAAAATAATCTTTAATCAACCGCTACACGTCCGTGCCTAATTCTAGTCCGCCGGCCTGCATTCCCCGACCCACGTGCCAGGGCTGCTGGCCACAGCCCGCCGTGCGCCCCCGAAGGCCTCAGACCGCTCCCGGCCCACACACAGTACAAAAAGACCGAAGAGATACAGGTATATTGGGAAAATAACCTTGGGATATAATAAACACCTCATAGCAGCCTTGATTAAGGGAGTATATGCACTATTTATTGCTGTTTGCAATGGTGGTGGGGGGAATCATCTTCTTTAAATGTTCATATAGCAGCTGTGTCTATGACCATGTTTCCCATCTGTGTTTGGCCAGAAGGTTGTAGCCTTTTCTGTCCAATATGGTCCTTGGCACTCTTTCTCTTGACACCTTACTAATCAACTCCTGCTGGTTCCCTGTAGTTCTAAAGTGAGCTGTATCTCTGACCCATTTCTGGTCTGGGTCACCTTAAACATGTCTCTGGCTTTCAGCTATTATCTTTTCCAGGGCAGAGTCTTGTAATTCTCTCCTTCCAGACAGGGGATTCAGGCTGCAATGTATCCTGCTGCAGTTTGCTGTAATCATCTTGGCAAGTCTGTCTTTCTTGAAGGGACAGTGTAATGTTAGTATGAGACAGTAACCATCTGACTTTCACAAAACATGATACTGTTTATTTTTGGATAACACTGTACACAGAAGGTCTATAAAACAATAAATGGACCATACACATGCTAAGCTTATCAGGTGTTACCGATCACGTAGATATATCAGTTCTTTGCTCCAGTGTGCATGATAGGGTGTCACATGAGAGTGATGTCCTTCTTTTGTCAAGCTGGCCACATTATGCAGTTGCCAATTTTCTGTTTGGTACCTTTTCTCATCAAGCTAAAACCAGAATGTGCAGTTTCCCCATGAGGTGTTGGGGAAAAGGTTTCTTCAAACTTGTTTACCTTCTTAGGGATTTGCCTTAATAATCCTCCAGTGATTTTAGTTTATTCAGGAAAGTCTTGTAACTCTTCCCTAGCTCCATCAGAGAACCCACTGATGTCAGATTGTCAACGATAATTAAAGCATGCCTTTAGTGCTATAGTTGCCATTCCTTTCTAGCCTCTTTTCTATAGGTGATATGCTTACACTTTCTACTGAGAAAACTACACAGTCATTGGTGTGATTTTTTTTTTTTCTGTCTTTGATACCAGATTGTAATTGTATGCCTTGAAAATTTCATACTCTGTGCTTCCTCCCTTGTAAACTGTTTGTGGGTGCAAGCTGATTCCATTCCATTTTGGTAACTGATCTACCTGAAATATTTAGATGTTCTTGGACAGTTTTGTGCGTGAGGAGAGGAGAGTTTAGCATAGGTTATTTTAAACACAGATCAATTATTTATGTCTCCAGAAGGGTTCTAGAAACCTTAGCTGGCCCTAAAAACCCCATGAACTACATAGAGTAGAATTGACTAATGCTACTGCTCTTTGAATACGCAGTGTTAAATACAGTGTTATTTATTTCCTCTATCTTCAATTTTTTTTAAAAAATGGTATCGCATTCTTTTATGGTAGGGCAGAGGTAGGTATCTGTGAGAGAACTAGCAGCCCTACAAGACTTTTTTATTTATAACATTTTTAATCGTGCTGTAAGGTGCTTTGTCTGTTTATTTAATCAGTTCTAGTGAAATGCTAATAAGGAGCATACACCACCTTAGTTTATAGTTGTAGGCTGCAGTCTGCCGATCATGGATTGGCCTCATCAGCCATCTTTGGACCCACAGATAAGACAGTCATCCTCAACTGCAAGGGATTGCTGAAGAAGTTGTAGTGTGTGGCCTTCTAATGCATTCAGCATCTAACACTGCTCTCGGTGAAATCAATGGGAGCTTTGATACGACCTGTAGGAAAGAGCTACTGAATATCCTGCAAAAAAGAAGCAAAAGGATTATAGCACCATTACTTCTCTTACCTAGAGAAGTTACCTCCTACTGCACCCAAAGAAGCTATCTTCAGAGGCTGTGAAATATTTTTTTTTTTCAGAACTTGAACCCAGTGGCCCAGGCTAAAATGAAAAACGCCATGTTTTTTTGGACGTGGGCATTGAGACATCAGTAATGATTGGCTAAACTGAGGATAATGTTTCAGGACAAAACATTTGGTTATCTGAATTCAGATCAAAGAAATAATGGAAACAGTATTAAAAAGGGACTTTTATATGGTATGCTGTCAACAGAATGACTCGGGCAGAAGCCAACTGTTGCTATGCCCAGTAAGTATGTGCTTCTCTCTACTTAGCATCTAGCTATCGTACACCTCCTATTATGGTAGCAACTGAGCACTTCACTGCTTTGATGCACCTTACAACACCCCAATGATGGGGAAAGTACTATTATCCCCATATGACTAATGGGGAAATGAGGCAATGAGAAGTTATGTGATATGCCCGAGGTCACACAAGAATTGTGCGGCAGAGCAGGGAATGGTACTCAGGGCTCTCAAGTCCCCTCAGGCCAATACTCCAAATGTGAAACCATGCCTTCTCCTATGCTGTGAGTTACTGGCATGTGCATCTCTGCCATAATGGCTGTGTTCAGGTTAGATCTTACAATCTACATATGGTGAAGGGCACTCAGTGACAGAGTATGGGAAGCCACAAGGAAAAGCCAGTTGCTACAGGAAGTGATGCTGGTGAGTCAGTAAGTGCCTGGTACTTTGAGATATGATGGTGCTGAGTGCACTATCATTCAAAAGTCAATTAAAAGTGAGCTGCTAAGAGGCCGTGGCTATTAAAGATTCCATGTTGTTATTCACTAGAGGAGTGCCCCAACCAAATTACTGTTGGGGTAATGCATTTCACCCATCTCAGCCCTTCCTGTAGTTTCAATTAATTATGCCAAGGCTGTCCAACTTCTAAGCAGTCGGTAGCCACATGCCTCACAGTGCACACAAATGGGGGCTGCGTGCCCCATAGGCTGCACACTGTATGGATGTTCCCCACCCTGCTGCACTGGAATCCTCTGTCCTTGCACTCAGTGCAAACTACACACCTGCACAGGGTGAGCACACAAGACAGAAGCTGGAGGATAGACAGGTAGCCTGGAGAGTTGCTGTTACAGCCAGAGCAATAGGGGGAGTAGCAGCCGAGTGGGAGCTTGGCGGGGGGACCCAGTGTAACCCCTTGTGGGCCTTATGCAGTGCACGGGCTGCCAGGTGGAAAGACTTGATTTATGCTATTGTTATTCAGTAAGCTGTAGTGTACTGTTGGGGTGCCACGCACTTCAGGGGTGGGTGAAATGATTCCTATGTGAGCAGTGAAAACACATCCCTGGGATTTTTTGCTGGAGGGTGCTATGCAAATATATTAGATTGTTGCTTTGGAAATTACATCATATTTTATGTTTACAATATTCAGATTAATGAAAAGTTTTCTGCCTTTTTCAGTAGCATTCACTCCACAGTACAGTGCAGTGCCTTGTTCAACCCACAGTAGGCAGCAAAACTATAACATTAAAAAATAGCAAAGAGGATCACCAGCTCTACATATGATTTGTGGTCATGGTGTTGTTCCATCTGGGTCTCTGCCCACAGCAGGAAAATGATCAAATGGTTGTCAGCAACTCATATTTTCTGCTGTTTCCACTCTCAAACAGAGGACATTTTAATTGCACGTATAAACAGGACAACACCACTTTCAGCAGCATCTCAGACTGTGCCATTGAGATGTAGTAGAGTGATACTAATGAATGTTAATATATACAGTACAAGGCTTTAGCCTTGTATTTCTATAGCTGTCAGTGTCACAAATTCCTTCCTGTAGTGTGCACTGATGGATCTCAAAACCAATGTGCTGAAGGAAGCCAAAAAGGCAAGCAGTCTCTGCCAGGCTAAATTTAAAGCTCTCTCTAAACTGTCCCTTAGAAGGGAGGGGCTGGGGAGCTCTGGAGTTTCCACCCCACAGATCCTGAAATCTGCAGAGAAGGAACTGCCCCTGCTGTAAAACTATTCTTGATAATAATCCACAGAGGCGAGAGTTCCTTGTGTGGATTGCTGGCCACATCTTGCTGCTGGCTCCTCTTGCTCCTTTCTTCACACACAGGAGTCACCCTGCTGTTGGCAGTTGATCATTGGCTTCTGCAGAGCACCCTAGGGAGTTTACACAGCTCCCAGAATGGAAATTATGAATTGTTGTGTGGGAATAGGATAGCCTTCTGACCATGCCTCCACTGCCCCATAATGCAGGCAGCAGAGATGGCTATAAGGCTTCCTCTGAGAAGGTGTTCTACAGCCTGGTTTAGAGGGAATGTGAGGGATATGGCTGGCAGAGGCAAGGGTAATTCAGGATGAAACATGGCATTGCAGGGATTCTGCGCAGCACCAGGACCCATGGCCATCTGGGGAGTCAGTTGTGGTTTAGATAAACCTCCTGTGCTGTCTGAGTTATGCTTAGGGCTTATTCAGTCCCCCATCTCTTTAGAGTAGCCAAGGACCTGGAGAGTGCAAAGGTACCTCCTTCACCTCACAGGTCCTTTGGCTTGAGGGTTCCAGGCTGCAGCCCCATCTGACATCTCACCAAGTTATTCTGGTCATTCTCTGTTGATGCACGTATGTTGAACTGAAATTTTAAAATGTGAATAGACACAATGTGGATATGCAGTACTTAATACAGTGCAGAATTGCAGATTTCTGAACTCACATAAAATACAGGCCAGGGGATGGATGTTTATTCTGCCTTTGTTTTCGTGCTAATGATATCCATGTTGCTCCACTGTAATCAGCTTCTATGTAAACAAGTCATTGTCCCTAGAGTAAGTTTAGAAAAACATTCACTCACAGCATGTTACAGATAATTATAGTTTTAGCAACACAGTGTTTAAGTCATTATCCACTGCTCATAGAACATCAGCAAGATGCACAAAATAGCACGGGGGAAACACGACTTGGTATTAGATTACTAGCTTCCTTTTGTTGTTTTACAGGCCCTATATGTCCATTGGAACACTACGCGATCAAGTTATTTATCCTGATTCAGTAGATGACATGCATGAAAAAGGATATCAAGACCAGGATCTGGAATGTATCCTACAAATTGTTCATCTATATCACATAGTTCAGAGAGAAGGAGGTAGGTCCCATATTTTTGTAAAGAACTTATAACGCCCCCCTCCCCCCAAATATCTCTCAAGCAGGTATTTACATCTTAGCACAACCACGGACTGTCAGGTGGGACAATATGGTCTTACTGTTTCTTTGTATTCTATTGTCAGTCTTCTGCTGTCAGTCGATCTCACGGGTGGACAAAATGTGGCCCGCGGGCCAGATGCAGCCCACCAGACTATTCTATCCAGCCTGCAGGGCCCTAAAAAATTTAGAAAATTAATATTTATCTGCCCCTGGCTGCCTGTCATGCGGCCCTCCATGACTTGCCAAAACTCAGTAAGTGGCCCTCCACCTGAAATAATTGCCTGCCCCTGGTCTATCTGTTATCTCTCTTATTATACTTAAGCAGTAAACTCTATTGGGCAGGCCTCTGCTTAGTTTATTCAGGGCTTCACATCATAGGGACTTAAGTAGGCCATTTAGGTACCACAGTAATACAAATAATAATAGTGTCATATAATGCCAACATTAGGCCAACTTCTTTCACACTTGTCTTAAAACACTGTAACTCCATTGATTCTACAAGATATAAGTGAGAGGAGAATCAAGTCCATTATCATCTGTCAGTGCCTGACCAAAGCAAGCACAGATGAAGTAACATCCTCTATCAGCATCACCAGACCGAACTAGTTAAAAATAACTGAACTGCCACTAGAATCTGAATGTTTACCCCTTGCAGTATAAATTGCCATGGTATTCCCAGTATTCCTGAATCTAAGAATAGGGAGCAGTACACATACCTCACTGCAGTAAATGTCAAGATATTAATGGTTCCTGTTGCATCTAGGAAGCTGGAACATTTGATGGGCTTGTTTTTCAAACCCTGCAGATAGTTTTCATAGTTCTGGTTGCAACAGTCACTAATTTATAATTTGGATTTACTTCCTGCATTATGCTTTTTATAGTGGATTTATGACAGCTGCATTAGCATTTAAGAAGCAAAAAGATACTAGGGAAGAGACTTCAGAATGCCTGGTCATGCAGCTGCTGCTTTCTGCCTATCAGTGCTCCTTCAGGCCCACTGTCGGCACTTTAGGAACAATTGCATTGTAATACATATTGTCTTGGAGACTAAATGTATCATTCTCCCACTATAATTCACTTTAGTAGCTCAAGCAGAAGTTTCAAGCCCATTTTTTAATTTTAATTCTCCAACTGGAGTCCATTACTCTGTTAAAAGACCAGAAGATTGGTTTTGTTTGCAAAACCTATATACGAACTTGAACTACATGATCAACTTTTCTATTGTACTCTGGATTGGGGGGTTGTCATTTTTTATTTTTTTTTTGTCTGTGGTATAACATCACTTTCCATACTAACTGCATGTTCCATCTACAATCCTACACATTTGGATTTTAATTCTGATTAATGTTGCTGACATTTAAGAATGCAATTGTTGCCGACCCAGACCTATAATAGTCTGGGGTACGTGGATGTTAGCCTCTTCAAATAAATATTAAATAAACCCCCCCCCTCAGAGTAAATAAATATGTGTTCACCCAATCACATTCAGCATTCACACCAATTAATACAACATAATGGTGGAAAAAATTGATATCAGAGGGCTAAACCTGTAAAATATGAAAAATGGGTAGCAGGGCTCTACCAACTAAATTTAGACTGTAAATAGAACTGTTCATTTCCCAATTTAGTTTCTATAACTGAAACAGAGCCACAATCAGGGGCAGTGAATGCTCTGGCTAGAGCAGGCAGCCAGGGAAGGGACCCTGGGGAGAAGGTGGGGAGGAAGTAATGAAAACAAATATTTGGAATAAACAGAGAGGTGAATAGGAAGGACAGTTTCGTAGTTTCCCTGCTTTCTGTGCCATCCTGCCACTTATGAACTGTTTTCACAGTGGAAGGATATGACACAATGAGTTAACATTTCAGTTTTTCAAACATTGAATACATTGATTTCCATGTAAACAGCTGTACTGTAAGAGCAGTAAAGCACCCAGTGGCTTGCATGCCTAGGTTGTGAATGTTGGCCTTGGTGTCTTGCAGAGCACAAGGCCTTCAGACTACTACACAATTTGCAGGTGCCAGTAAGTGCATGCCCAGCTGTGGCTACAGTGTTATAACCAGCACATGCAGGTGAAGTGGTTGCAATGCCCCACCTAAAGAGGAGCTATTGTTTTGCATTAGTGTTATACACTGTCAGGTATGCAGTCCAGATCTGAATAAAACTGTAGGGTTGGAAGGGACCTCAGGGGTCAGAGCTAGTCCAGCCCCCTACACAATACAGGTAAACAATTCCTGTTACTCCCTGAAAGGCACGTGACATTACATTTCTTTACAAACAGTATTTCTCATTTAAATTTTTCTGTTGTCTCCTTGTCCTTCACATACTACCCCGTTTCAGATTTCCCTTGCTGTATTATGCCCTTATTAGATTGTTAACTCCTCAGGACATGGCCCTGTTGTGCTTCAGTTGGCTGTGAATGCTGTATATACATAATAAAGTCCTGTAAGTCTTTGCATTTCATTCCCTAAGGGCAGGGATGAGAGAGCCATATACAGCTTGTAGTAAGCAAGCCTGATTCTGATCTCTCTTACACCAGAGTAACTCAGTTGTCGTCAACAGAACTACTTCTGATTTACATCAGTCAAAGCATGATAAAAATTTGGCCCAGCAAGTGCAGCTTTACAGAACTCTCTTGGTAAAACTTAGCAGCAGTGTACAAACTACACAGTAGGGGGAAACCAGTCAGAAAGGCCCAAGTACTTCTCCCTTTCCTGCCCATGGTAGAACTCCCTTGAACTTCAGTGGATCTGAGAGATGAGACAAAGTGGGTGGAAGAGATGAAGAGAAATGGTTTTAACACTCAATATGTGTATTAAAAATGTGCAACTCTTTAAGTAGGCAAAGAAGAATGTAAGAGGAAAAGCAGTTCCTGAAGTCCAAGTTCAGCAGACATGTTCCATTATGCTAGGAGCTGAAATTATTTCCTACAGAACCCCTATCATTATTTTCCATACCTGTGGGTGTCAAGTGAACATTTTAACCAGCTTGCTGGTAGTCATCTTACACCAGCATTTACCTTAGTACTGAATTTGATCCAGGATGGGCAAAAGTGGCCCTGGTCCATGTAAGATGTTCTATTCAGATATGCTTTAAGTGGGACAGCATTTCTATAAGGAGGTGTGATAATAGTGTTTTTTATAAAACCCACCTGCAGTCCTACTGTGGTGCTCTGGGGACCATGCAGTAATTTCATACAAGATGAATGTAACAAGCAAGGCCACATTCAATATCCAAGATATGTGCAACAATCTAGAATAAAAACAATATAGATGTATGATAACTTTGTGTCAGTGGGTCTTCAATTTACTAGAATTCACTTCTATTTTAAAACGTGTGTGTATTTAATAAGTATCAGAGAGATGTTAGTTATGTTAATCTGAAGTCGGGCAGAAGGTAGGGTAGAGATGCATCAGTTATATAGCGTATTATACAGTAATTGACTATTCATTTAATCTGTAACGTGCATCTCTACCCTGCCTTTTGCCTAGCAAGCATCAATAATCACATTGCAGCCTGTGGCCAGGGGCAGATCTTGGGGGATGGGAGAGAGGTACAGTGATGCAATCACACCCCTCCTTTGATTCCACCCAAAGTGTAAAACCAACTGCCTGGGAGTGGCAACAGCATCATTTTGGTTCAGGCATCAGTGAGGGAATCACTTGAGTGCATGGCTCTTCATAATCTACCTGATTCCTTCTGAACTCTTCATTCCACAGGTGTCAGCAAACCTCTCTCCCTTTTAATGTTTTTGATGTTCTGTTAATCAAGTTATCCTTTCTTAGTCAATTCTGCAATCTGTTAGTGGCTTCAGGTAATGTAACTTCCATTTCACAGCCTTGCAGTCTGTTGTAACTCTTGCTAAAACCAGTAACTCAAGTGAGGAAATAACATTCAGTGAAGCATTGGATGCACTGTCAAGATTCTCAGGAAGGTTAGATTTTGTTTTATGAATCTGAAAAGAGACTATAGTTAATACTAATGACATCAAGACTACTGAAACAATATCTTTTGATTATTTTTCTTAGTTTGTTGTATTTTATACATAATATATGATATAGCGAATTAATGCATATTTTGATATATTTATAAGTGTTTTTGCTCTAATCTTAAACTGAATAGTGTAGCCTTAGCTCCCTAGTTTATTGGTAAAGCTTCTAGTTTTTTTTTAACCAGAGAAAAATGTGTTGTAAGTGATGATGCATCACACCATCTGCATCCCCCTTTTGAGAATCCTAGATCCACCCATGCCTGTGGCCCTTTGCAGCTTGTCACATGATAAAATCACTAAACATGTTGTAATCTGACTGTTACATGACCAGTTCTGCCAGTTCAGGGACTGGTGCAATTACTAAACAAGTTGATCTAGTTCATAAATTTTCAGCTCCCTCAATTACTAATATTAATTATTTTGTGTTGTGGTAGCAACCCACAAGCCCTAGCAAGGCTGGGACATCATTCTTCCGGGTAAGGTACAAACACACAGATAGCTTTTACTCATGCCCCAAAGAGTGTACAGTTAAATAATTTTAACTATATTTATGCTTTTGTTAAGGAAGTTACTCTGTCACCAACCTTCTGGATGACTGGAGACTTATTTGTGCATTTTTATAATATTTCAAAAAGAAATACAGCTTTTTAATTGACCTTTATGTAGTAGCTAAATGCAACTCCTCTCATGTACATGGGACTCACAGGATGCATTGTATGATAAACCCCAAGCATGCCTAAAAAGAAAAGCCTACTTTCATTGCTGGAAATGGGGATGATCAGTGAGTCAATACAATTGGTGCTGTGATTAAACTGATTGCAAATGACCCATGATCTTCCACCTATTATACCCAGGCTGGGTGCCATTAGGATGATAGGAAATTATGGTTAGTAAGGACCTCATGGGGAGATCTAGTCCAGCCCCTTCCTCAAGGCAGGATCATCTCGGGTTA